AGCAGGTGTCCAGCAAGATTCTGTACAAGGCTCTTTCCTTTGTTTGCTTCAAGAAAAAATTAATAGCTTTAAATACATATTTAAAAAGAGAGCCTGAAAGGCTTTTAACACGTGAACCCCAGGAATCAGGCACAATGCCATCAGATGCTTCAAAATTCTCTAAGATGCAGGATGCAGGCTGTATTTAATTGCCTGCCCTGCTCAGGACTGCAATTATTCCGTCTAAATTGTATAGATTTCTTTTAAAACCCTCTCACGTTTTTTGTCACAAGACATCTAATTGGCAACAGCAAAATAATTCACTAAAATAAGGGCACAAACGTCCGACCTTTAAAATTCAAATTTTAAAGCAAAAATACACTTACAAGTATTATACTTTAGCTTAGCATATAGTGTAATACAGTCATATAATCCAGAAAGGATACTAAATCACTTGCTATTTGTGTTCCTAATAAAAGAAATGATATCAATGATTGTCTATGCAACCTTTCAGTGCATGGGGCAATGCCCAGCCAACGGAGCCACACCTGCCAGGGCAGTCCTCACATGCTTGAGCCCACTCTTCCTAAGAGATTGGGAATAAGCTCTTCACTTCCCTCCCCTCTTCTCAGTTTAATGGCTATAATTTAACTGACGTTAGGCTTGGGCCATTAAAGAGGAATCATATCTAATGTCTGACTGAGTTCCAAAGTAGTTTCACCATCCACTCTATATGTTACCTTGTGCAAATTATTTAACTTGTTTTCTTCTGTAAAGTAAGGACTATAATATCACTTACTTAATGGGATATTTTGAAATTTATATTATTTTGGAATGGGACCTTATTCATGGAAAATCTCAGTAAACATTAGTTGGTTAAATTATAATGGGCACCCTGGCCAGTGTTGCTAAGTGGTTAGAGCATCAGCCTGCACCCTGAAGAGTCGTGGGTTCGATTCCCGGCCAACCTGGGTTTCTGGTTTGATCCCTGGCCCCAGGGTGCATTCAGGAGGCAATCAATAAAGGTCTTTCTTTCAAATTGATGATTCTCTCCCCCCTCCACTTCCACTCTTCCTGAAAACCAATGGAAAAATATCCACATGTGAGAATAAACATTAACAACAACAAAAATTATAATGGGCAATAAACAAAGCTCATCTTTCATGATATCACAAAATATTTCTAAAAGTTAAACATTTTTTAGAAGGAGTTGGTAAAAATAAAGTAAGCATTTAATAGTCATATTGTAATTCCTTCAAGTCTTCAGGCAGTACTGAAGGGATGAAGGCTTAAGAGTCATCATCTCTTGCATGGCTGCTCATTGGTTGTACTCTAGTAGCTCACAATTCATATTTATCTCACTGTAGCATTTCCCAGGGTTTAGAATAAGTGGAAAATTTGGCTTATGTATCTTCCAAAAGTTTCTCTTAAAAGAATACCAGATCTGGCCTTGGCCAGTGTGGCTCAGTTGCTTGGGCCTTGCCCCATGCACCTAAAGGTTGCTGGCTCGATTCCCAGTCAAGGCACATGCCTGGGATGTGGGTTTGATCCCTAGTTTGGGTGTGTGCCAGAAGCAGCTGACCAATGCTTCTCTCTCTCTCTCTCTTTCTTTCTCTCTCTCACTCCCTCCCTCCCTCCCTCTCTCTCATTCTCAAATCAGTTAACATTTATATATGCTAGCTCTGTGTAGAAAGCTGGCCATGTACTATCTTTTGTTCATTTCCTAAATATTTATTAAACACCTATTATGTATGTGTATATCACCCTGCCATGGTTACATACAACAGCAAAGACCATGAGTAGCCCATAGATAAATCCTCACATTCTTTTTTTAAAAATTATGTTTAGGGAGAGAGAGAGGGAGAGAGACAGAGAGAGGGAGACATCAATCAGCTACTTCCTGCAGGCCCCCTACTGAGGGCTGAGCCCACAACCTGGGCATGTGCCCTGACTGGGAATGGAACCGGCAACCTTTCAGTGCATGGGACAATGCCCAACCAACTGAGCCACACTGGCCAGGCAATCCTCACATTCTTGAGCCCACTCTCCCCGAGAGACATCACAGACATTGCCAGAGCTCAGGCCAGAGAGCGGCCAATGCCATAGCCAATTTACTGAGCAGAATCTATACTGTTTCCAAAAGGTTTTCCATTTGTAGTGGTTTTCTATTTTTATTTAAATTCTGAAAGAATCCACATACATGACCTTTTAAATTTAAGAACTTCTATTTTTAAGATATTTTAAAACATATTCCTAATTTGAAAGCTGACAGTATTGAAATATCAGCAAAAGAAAAGCAATAGATCCTTCCTGTTGTGTTTGTTCCAACTTTATCAATACCGTACATTTCTGAAACGACAGTGTAATTAGAAACTCTGAAACCTGTCTGTGACTCTTTTATCTACCTTGAGGTGGGACATTAGTGAGGATTTGGATCTTATTACTTTTTGTGAGTTTGTTCCCTTATTTTCTCAATAATGGTCCAATTCTCAGATATCTTAGGGTGTGCTCCAATCTGTTGCTGGTGTTTGCCCCTAAGTTCTCCCTTCTTGGCAAAGGCAGAGGATCATCAGCTATCTCTGTTCTTTCTGGGACTCAAGCACAGTGGGGCTTTTGGCTTAGAAACTGTCCTATCCGGAACCCCTGGGGTCCTGGGGCCCACACACTTGGCAACCAGCCAGGGATGCTTTCATGGTCTGGGCTGACCTTGGACTGGCTTCTAGGGCCCCGTAAGTAGTCCTCCGTAGTTTGAATCAGGCCAGCTCAAAGGCCTTGCGCTAGGCTGGTGGGTTTGTTCTGGGATAGCTGAAAGTCTTGAAACCCACTCTGGGAGAGCCCTTCCTCCTGGGGACTTCCTTTGATTGAATGAATGAAAATGGAGTAGGAAAATGACCCCTGGAGAAACTTCCTCTTATAAGAGCAAGTAGAGCCTGCTTGTGCTGGTTGGTTACATTGTTTGCCCCCCACCCTACCTGCCCAACCCTTGGACCCACTTTCTTTTTTGAAAATATATTTTATTGATTTTAGAGAGAGGAAGGGAGAGGGATAGAGAGAAACATCGAATTGGCTGCCTTCTGTACAGCCCCCGTTGGAGACTGAGCCCACAACGGCAAACTGAGTATGTGCGGCAACCAGAGCCTGTGCCCTGACCGGGAACCGAACCGTGACCCCCTGGTTCATGGGCCGATGCTCAACCATTGAGCCACGCCAGTCGGGCCCTTGGACCCACTTTCTGCCCTCCCTGGCCAATCTCTGTGTCCTGGACTAGGTTCCCAGTTCCTAGGACCTCTGTCTTCCAGTTGGGTTTGGCCTGCGGGAGGCACTTCCAGGAGAGTGGAGGGTGGGAGGAGAGAGAGGCCAGGGTATTTCTTTCCACTGCTTCTCTTCTACATGAGATGGCTCTGGTACTGGCAGCCTCCTCATCAGTGGCAGCTCCTATTTTGTGTCCCTTCTCCAGGATGCTAGTGCCCTTCCTTACTCCTACTATTTGAAGGCATGATTATCTCTTCCCACTGTTGCGAAGCTCTGGCTGATTCCCTAAACTCCGTCCACACCCCACCCCTGTAAATGGTCCCTTTACAGAAAGCCTTTTAGGTTAAAATCTTTGTATGTGCCATCTATTTTCCTCCTGGGAAGGATCTTGATCGATACAGTCATGTCAACTTATACTACTCCACCTGGAAAATCTGAAAACCTTTCCATTAAAAAGCAGCCGCCTCCTAGAAGGTGTTTGTATTCATCTTCAACATTCACAACCAATACAAAATCCAGAGCATGAGTCATAATTTGCTAGGCTGAGGGCTCTTCCATGGCAGGCACACTGTTCTGAGCATCAAGGGGTCTTGCTGTCCCCCGCCCACCCCGCCGCTCCCCCTCAGCCCCTGGCATATAGTAGGTGCTGAACAAATGTTCCCTACAAAGACAGCACCCTTGGGCTCCAAGAGCCTCAGCCTCAGCTTCCTTCTTCCTCTTCTCCTCCCCCACACCACCTGCTGAGCTGCTGGCACCTGTAGGATCTGTATCACCAGGCTAGCCAGTTGGATTTATTTCTTATTGTTCTCGACAGAGGCAGTTCATTCACGTGATTTTCTGCAGTATCCAGAAAGGGTGGGTACACTATGTCCTGTGATGAAAAGCTTGTGGAGGAATGCAGGCTTTAGTTTCACCCCCATATTGTTGCTATTCCTATAAGAGAATTGTCTCCCCTCACGCAGACACCGTCTCCCCGACCCCACACAAAAGCCTCGAAACATTTAATTGTGAGAAATGAGATTACAGTCTATGCAATGAGACAGGATGAGATGGCCATGAGTAGCCCCCGGGTGTGTTATACCTGAGCCTTTTCCAAAACACTGCAGAGGAATTAGTCAGTCCAGGCAGCCAGGAGGCAGGCTATTTTTCCAGAAACGTTTACATCTGGGTAGGCCTGATTTTTTAATATTCTTGGTGGGAAGCACTTAGAACCATGAAGACACACTGAAAGGCAATTGCGATGGAGACTGCCTCTGCAGTGCATTTCTCTTGAGTTTTCTTCTTGGGCGCTTCAGCATCCACAGGGCGTGCTAGGAACGCTGCTATGGGTGGGAACCCAGGCACAGCAGTGTTAGGGGGGCACTTGGGACGGGAGCCCTCCCCAAGGATTAAAAGCCGGAGATGGCTGCCCAAAGTAGGGTGTGTGGGTCGGACGTGGGTGGAGGGAAGGTCCTCAGAGTCTGCAGGCCCCCGGCTCGCTCGCCTGTGCGGGGACCACGTGCAGAAGCGGCGCCTGGGGGCCTCTGGCGCGCAGCCCTGGTAGGTGCCTGCACCCGGGCCCGGGAGTACCCCGCGTGTGTCCGTGTGCGCTTCTGGGTGGGCGGAGGGCTCGGCGCCGTCTTGCTTCCCACCCTCCAGGAGTGTGTGCGCGTCCTCAGCCCTGCGCCCGCCGAGCGGTGCCTGCGCCCGGGAGAACGCGCGCGCACCCGTGCGGGGTGTGTGTGCATGTGTGTGTGAGTGAGTGTGTGACAGTGTGTGTCAGGTGACTTGGGTCACGCAGTCTCTCTCCCTCCTCGGGGAGGAACTGCCGCGCTCCGGTTGAGTCCTCCGCCGGCCGGCGGGAGGGGCGGCGAGGGGGCTCCGGGCGCGCAGAGAACCGCGGGACCCAGCCCCGGAGGCCGCCCGCCGGGGGAACTCGCGCCCCCCGCCTCCGCCGGCTCCCGCCGCGCTCCAGACAAAACCCCAATTCAGAGAGGTTGCGAGCGGCCAGGAGGAGGCTGAGCCCCTCGCCCGGAACTCGCCACCCCCGGCCGCCGCACGGTGGGCGCGATGAGCCAGGTGCTGGGGAAGCCGCAGCTGGAAGACGAGGAAGACGAGGAGGAGGATGAGCTGGTGGGGCTGGCGGACTACGGGGACGGGCCCGACTCCTCGGATGCCGACCCGGACAGCGGGGCGGAGGAGGGAGGTGAGCGCGGGGTCCCCTGCCGGCCCCTAGCCCCGCGCGTCCTGAGCCGGCACCCCGTCCCGCCTCTGTCTTCCCGCCCCCGGCCGGGCCGAGCGCGCGGGCCGCGGACTTGGAGGGAATCCAGGAGAACGGAGTTGCGGGGTGGGGGTGGGGAGGGCGCCAGAGGAGCGACGGCAAGCTGCAAAATGGGGGAGCCCGGGTGCAAGCGGCGATGGGGGGACCGGGATCAGTGGGGAGAGCAGAGAGTGGAAGAGTCTGGGTTGGGGAAACGCGCGCTCGCTGGCCCGCTCCAGGGCGGGTACCTCCCCCACCTCTCACTCGAGCTCTCAGCAGGATCTGGGGGTTGGGGAGGGAAGGGGACCGCCGGGCTCGCCCTGGGACCTCTCCCTGAATGCTGCTGTTGAAGCTGAGGTCAGATGTCGTGGCTAAAAAAGGCAGCCGGCGGCAACGTGACTGGCAGGGTCGTCAGCAGCTGCGGGTGTCAGTCTTGCCCCGTGTCGTCGCGGGAGGGGTCCTGGGGCCGCCCAGATCTGCGGCTTAGGGGCACCCACGGAGATGCACCCAGGTGATGTGCGAGTTGCCCAGTGGCAGAGGGTTTCCCGGATCCAGGCAAACACGGTTGTTAGGACACCTTATCTGCGCTCAGTGTCACCACCTGGGCATGACTGCCTGTCCTGGAGAGAGCGCGTGGTGGGGAAATACAGCCACTCAGAAGTCAACTGTTTACTGTTGATGAAGCGGGATTTAACAATTGTTCAGCCTGTGTGTGTGTGTGTGTGTGGGGGGGGTGTCCTGTATTTAATACTTAAGGCCTAAGGAAGCTGAGAGTTTTTTAGGCTTCCAGAAAGGTTCATCTTTTTTTGTTTTTCTCCAAAGCAAGGGAAAAGTTCTTTATTGTAAGGTCACTTGAAAAGGTCAATCGAAGAAGGCTGTTAAACATAACATCAAGGTGAAGCTGTGTGCATCCAAAGAAGGAACTAATTTTAAACATTTGCACTTTGACGAAATTGTGGGGGATGAAAGTACCTTTGTGACCGTTGATTTTGAAGAACTTTTATTGGAATTCATTGAACTTACTTTAAATTCCCTGTTCAAAGCCTTTGTCGGGAGAACAGTTTCATTATTTTGTTTATGGTAAGTGCTGCATTCAGTGAATCAAAGGGAAGAAAGTGAACTAAACCTTGAGCCTGGTAGATGAGAGAAGCTTTCCAAGTCACCCTTTTTCATCGTGGTCTGTCTCCTGGGAGGATTTGTGCTAATTCCCCATTTGCTGTAACTGGTGTGGGCACCTGTGCACTTCGTTCGTCTGCACTCTCCATAATTGGTCCCACAGTTGAGCACGTGGTTACACTTTTGTAGATGAAGGCGTTCAACCCTTTTGTTGGAGAATCACCAGATTCCCCGGTGATTCTAATGTGCAGCCAAGGTTGAGAACCACTGCCCTAGGGCTACCTTGGGTAATTAAATTGTTCTGTCACTTCATTATTATTCAAATTGCATTTGTTGGCTCCTCCTAGTTTCTTGGGAGACTTGAGAGATTCAGAATGTGGTTGTATTGGCAAGGTATTTGAAATGGTAGCCACACAATAGGGTGTATTTGTGATACTCTAAAAAAAGAAAAATGAGAAAGAGACTATGGGAAAGAACAGCCCTGTAGTTTGATACTGTCCTGGGGGCCAGACGACCTGTTTATTCTGCGGCCTTTTAAAGGGGCATTTTAAAAACTGATTTGGGGACTTGAAATTGAAGTGAAAGTAAAGCTTTGCCTCAGGGGTGGGCTTCCCCAGGGCCTGGATGCTCCCCAGGGCACCTAACCTAAAGGCAAACCCGTCCAGAACTGATCCTTTTGATTACTTCACTGATAAAATCCTCCCTTGTGAGTTCTTTGCTCAACCTAGAATATTGCTATAAAATAAACGCATTGAGTATACTTATGTGGTAAGAGGACCCACAAATGGAAATTTGCTGCCTCAGATCTCACTGAAGCAGGGCCTTTCTCCACGTGGGCCTGCTGTGGGGAGGTGGTCTGTTCTCAGAAGACTTCCTCTATTATTTCAGGCTCCTGTTCTTTTCACGTGTTCCCGGTTTTGATTTGGGGCTTTAGGCCTGAATCTCTGTCAGAACATTTGCTTTCTAGAGTAGCAGATAGGCTCCTTGGTCAGCAATTCTAGCAAAGACTGTCCCTGACAACAGTCATGCCAGCTGATATGGTTCCTGGGAGTTGGGGTGAGGGAAGAGGTTAGGAGTTGTGACTTCCATTCCTGGTGCCACCAAAGGGTCATCTTGATTTTTAATGTGACCTGGACACATGTTGCATTATAACCCTGTGTTATTTTTGGTAAAATTTACATATACCTGCCCTCAAACTTAAAAAAGGGGTTGAGGGGGCAAGGTGGGGATGGAGAGGGACTCACTCTGAGAAAAGATGGATGTAGTGCAGTTTGAACAATGAGCAATGCCTGTCTCTAATGAATGCTCCTCCCCCTTCACTTTCTTACTAGACTTGGTTTAGTGCTGAGCTCAGTGGAAACCTGGGGCTTTTTCCATGAGTTCAGAAATCTACCCTGGTGGGTGGGATGCTTGACTGACTTGCATCGCTGTGCAAAAGAAAGTGGATTGAAGGTGGATAGTGTGATTTTCATTTCCCATAGTCTTATAAGGAACCTCTAATTTTATTCTTAAACCGAGTGTCTTGTAGGTTTGAAAACGTAGTGCAGCTAAGGTGAGACTTAAATTGCACTTCCCTGGCTTGCACTCCAGACTTGATTCATGAATACCAGGAGTGTTCTCTGGTACTTTCGTTCTCTTAAGGACGTATTTGGGCACCTCTCAACACCCCTTTCAGGGCATTTAATCAGAGATAGGTGAATCTGTCTCACCTTCAACTTCCATGCTCCAGATAAAACTGCCGTGCAGTAAATAATTAAGCCATTGGAAACAATTGCATCAAAAGTAATGATTGTTCTTTGACAGATGGACTTTAAATCTTTAGGAAACTGCTGCGCTTTAAAAACTAATAAGGAAAGCAATGAAAAGACCATATGTAATAAAAAAGTGAAATTGTTTTTTCCCCAAAGTCCCAATATTTAAGGGAAACCTGGCTAAGACAGCTGCTCACCCACAGTCCAGCTGAGTGCAGATTTGTTTCCATGGCAGCCTGTGTACTCTCTTAGGGTCTGAGGAAGTGACAGTTTAGGTGGTTAGTGGAGGCGTGCGTGCACACACACACACACACACACACAAACACACACATCCAAGGTCAGCAGGTGGTATTTCCTTGATGGGTGTAAATGCTGTGACTCCAGCAATTCATGTCTATTAATCATTAGTGTCAAGTTTTCCCACTTAAAATGATTTAAAAATTATTAGTGAATTCATCTTCTTGCAGTTCCTTGAGAGTAAGCAGAGATCATTGTTCTCCCGATATGCCAGAGATACCAGGGGACTTTAGTGCAGCCACAACATGGTGTAGAACTGAGCGAGGTGTAGGAGAGGGTCAAGTTTGTGAAAATATAAACCCCTTTCCTTATAGTTCTGCCTTGTCCAAAAGGAGTTGGGATTGCTACAGCCTTCCATAGCTAATCTCTTGGGTTTTCTTCTGGCCCTGAAAATATGAAGATATGTAAGAGTTGGAATAGATGTAAATACAGAATAGTTTTAAATGATATAACCAAGGCCACCTTTAGGCACAGTGCTTGTTTGAATGCATACAATTAAAAAGTGTGTGTGTGTGTATATATATATATATATATATATATATATATTTAATCCTCACCGGAGGATATTTTTTCCATTGATTTTTAGAGAGCGTGGAAGGGAGGAGGAGGAAGAGAGAGAAAGAGAAAAAGTCATGTGAAAGAGACACAGTGATTGGTTGCCTCCTGCACACGCCCCACTCGTGCCAGGGATCGAACCTGGGACCCTTCGGTGCCCCGGCAGACGCTCTAACCATGAGCAACACCAGCCAGAGCAGAGAGCATAGTTTTATATCATGTTTTGTAAACAATGATTCAGTGTATCATAGAACCTTGATTCTCTATTCTTATCAGAGATCTCCCATTTTAATATTAGAACAGACATAGGGTAGTCTAATAGAAAGAAATAAGAGGCAGAAACATCAAGTTCTGGATAAGGTGTGTGTGTCTCTCTGCACAGAGCCCTTGGCGACTGTGTCTCTCTCAGAGTTCACTGTTTGCTTTATTCAGTCTCCCACACCCATAGCTCTAGGTGACACATTTCACTTCCTGCTCATTTTTCTTCTCTATCTCCTTTATTCTTCCTTACCTTTTTTTTTTTAACCCCTTTTTATTCTCTCTCTTCGGCAAAAGCCTTAAAGCTCTCTTATGAGAGTGGTTTTCCCTGGTACTGCCCTGACACTCAGACACAGAGTTTTCACTCCTGGTCTAAAGCGTACAGGGACCCGGTCGACTTCTCCTCCGGAGGACTTCTGGGTCAGACTCACCTCGGTGTCGCAGTGTATAAAATAGAGGACTACACAAAACCAACCTCAATCACTCTCAAAGTGATTGTTTAAAAAAAGTGCACAAGAACAAATTTCCCTTTTTGCAGGAACATTGGTAGAGCAGAATACATTAGAAATGTTACTGGATACATATTTTAAGGAAATATTCGTAGAGGGAATCATGCTTTTTTAGTTACTTGCCAGTGTGATGTGAGAGGATTTTATAAAGATTTGGTCTTCACATATAAATAAAAATCACATTTATGCCTTTGAGAATGTCTTATTTGCATTTAATTCTCCATACGATGTAGTTAATCAGATGGACAGTGAGTCTTCATGATGTTGCAGTCTCTTGTTGATGGTACTATTACTATGCATGTATTTAATTTCCACTTGGGTTGGAATTTCTTACTAAACCCCTGGGCCTTGAATGTATAAGTAGTTCCATTGATCAGAAATACAAAGGCCCATAGATAATGTTGCAAATAGAATCAAGGACTCTTCCTAAAACTATAAATAAATAGAACCTTTAGGCTTT